AGACCGAACTGAACGCTCTGGACAGAAAAGTCCGCACTATAATGACGTCCCACGGGATGCATCATTCGAGATCGTCAGTAATGAGGCTGTACTTGCCGCGGAAGCATGGTGGGCGCGACTTTTTAAGCGCACTTACCTTGCATAATCGCGAAGTGTGCAGCCTCCGTAATTACTTTCTGACGAGAGCGGATGATCCATACTATAGGGACGTTATTTCTTGTGATAAAGGGCTAACCCCTCTATCCTTAGCCAACGAGCAATGACAAGACCCGGTAGTACAGAGCATTTCCGACCGGGAGACCGTATGGAAAGAGAAGAAGCTTCACGGGAGGTTCTACAAGGCCATTCATGAGCCTTTCATAGACACAGTCGCCTCCCTCCACTGGCTACTTTTCAGTGACCTCTTTGGGGAAACTGAGGGTTTTATCTGTGCAATACAGGATCAGGTTAATAAGACCAACAATTATCGGAGATACCTAAAGGATGGCACCGTCGACATCTGTCGAGCTTGTCGCCATCCCGGTGAGTCACTTAGGCATGTCATTTCCGGTTGTTCGGCGCTTTCTAACTCTGAGTATTTGCACAGACACAACCTAGTAGCCAGGATTCTACACCAGGAGCTCGCTCTGAAATACGGTCTCGTGGATCGGAAACTGCCATATTATAAGTACTTGCCGGAAGCCGTGCTCGAAAATGACCGCGCCAGGCTCTACTGGGACCGGGCCATCATCACAGACAGGACTATTCTTGCGAATAAGCCTGATATTGTGGTGATGGACCGGGCACAGTCAAGGATATTTTTGATTGACTTTACCATTCCTTATGACGAGAATCTTGTGAAAGCTGAAACAGATAAGCTGACAAAATATCTGGACCTGGCTCACGAGGTGACCGACATGTGGGATGGTCTGCCGGCCGAAATTTTTCCTGTGGTCGTTTCTGCGAACGGGTTAATCCCAGTTAGCCTCTCGGGTCATCTGAGGCGACTGGGACTCCGTGACGGACCGCTCCAAGCTCAAATGCAGAAGGCGGTGCTCCTCGATACCGCCCGCGTCGTCCGCCGTTTTCTTTCCCTTTCCCCCTAACCCTCGGCCGTTTGGTCTCTCCTGCTGAGGGCTTCCATCTGGTTGAGTTTTTTTATATATTTATGTATTTTTTATGTATTTATTCTATTTTATTTATATTTATGTATGTTTATATATTTCGTTTACAATTATATATTTAAACAGCCCAACCAGATCATAAAACTTTGTACAGGGTGGGGCAGCATAACTTCCTTTTTTTAAAACCTAATAAAACACATTGTATGAATCGGAAAAATTTTATTTGGTTTTTACAATGTAAGTACATACTTAAAGTTTTGTTTTATTTAGTTTTGAAGATCAAATCAGGTAGATGACGTCCCTTATTCTCTATACATTGAGTATACCGATTTCTGGTGTTTGTCATAACTCTTTGAAGCAGAGCAGGCGTTATGTTGGCAATTTCTTCCTGGATGTTGTTCTTTAAATCTTGTAGGGTCCTTGGACGGTTCACATAAACACGGGATTTCAAAAAACCCCATAGAAAAAAGTCACAAGGGGACAAATCGGGAGATCGGGCCGGCCACTGCAAATCGCCCCTGATTGAGATAAGGCGTTCTGGGAAGTGTTCTCTCAAAACAGCCATCGATGTTCTTGCAGTGTGTGCCGTTGCACCGTCTTGTTGGAACCAAATGTCTCCCAAGTCCAACGCATCCAGCCGGGGTAAAAAGAATTCCTGTAACATGTTTACATACCGGCCCGAATTCACTGTTACTGTGACTTCATTTTCCTCAAAGAACCAGGGACCAATAATTGCAGCTGAGGAAATTGCACACCACACTGTGACCTTAGGTGAATGCAAAGGCCTTTCATGCAATTCTCGAGGATTGGTGTCAGCCCAGTAGCGCATGTTTTGTTTGTTCACGGATCCACACAAGTGAAAATGTGCTTCATCACTAAAAAAAACAATAGCGTCCTCAGGAACGACATCCAGAAGAATCTCACATGCGTTCCTGCGAGAATCGTAGTCACGTTTTGACAGTTCCTGTACAGTCGCCATCTTGTATGGATGGAAATGTAAGTCTTCATGGAGAATTCTCCGCACAGAACGACTGGAAAGTCCAAGGGCAGATGCATGTTTGCGCGCAGAACGCCGTGGTGATCGCAACATTGAAGCTCTGACTGCCTCAATGTTCTCAGGTGATCTAATGGGCCGAGGGACTCCAGTTCTTCGTTTTGTCACACTTGCAGTTTGTCTAAACGTAGTGACCCACATAACAATTGATTTTCGGTCTGGAACAGGGGCCAACGGGGCTAAATTAAAGCGATTTCGAAAGGCGCGCTGAGTTGCAATCACAGAACATCCGCGCGAAAAGTAAGCCTCAACAGCAAACGCACGCTCCTCACTGTTCCAACGCATTATGGCGACTGAGCTGTCTCGACTAAACTTTATAGCCCCCCCTCTCGAACGAGACCACTAGCGCTCCACTACGATGTCACCTGACCGAATGGCGCGCATTACAAATAAGGAAGTTATGCTGCCCCACCCTGTAGATAACCCCATAATAATAATAATATCCTCCAGATCGAATTCCGGAGCCTTAACGGAGACTAGCTATCTGCGCGAGACAGGATTATAGTGCCCAAGTGTATGCGCAAACACATGTGCACTCTCTATTCCCTCACTCTCACAGTCCGATGGGACGGTAAACGACACGATCGGAGAGAGATCAGGCGCATGAACAACGGCTTTCCGTGATTTCCGCGGCACGGGGATGAGATACCGGCAATTTCTTGACTCCAGGCAGCTACTGAGAATTTTTTCATGGAAAAGTTCAATAACTAATTATTTGACCCGACCCGGGATTCGAACCCGAAACTTCATGATCAGCAGTCGCACTACTACAACCACGTACGAGACAGTCAAGACAACTTTACTATGAAAACATTATATCAAGTAGACTGTAAGTTCGTTTGTCTCTTCAATTGTATTAAAAAAATTGTACAGAAATTTATATCTTAAATATGATTTTAGTATAACAGACACGCGCTTCTCATGACCCTAAAAAGATAAGTGGACGGTATCTAATCTTATGGCAGTAATTTTTCAATTACCATGCGTGATTTTCCAACACAAATGTAACAGGCCTATTTATGGACAACAGTTTATTAACGATATCCTTCTGACTACTTAAAATAGACCACTACCACTATTGCTACAATCTTATGAGTTAATTTAAGGTTGACAGGCACGTGAGTTTATAATGATTATGATTGTTAGATAATTCACTATTAGATATTATAGGCTTTTTCATCTGTTGTTAATGTTTCAACAAGACTACATAATTTAAGAGATTTGCCCAAAACTCACGACGATTTTTGGAACGAAGTTCCTTATCGGACGGTACGGGTTTGGCGGATGGGAGCTAGGTGACAAATAGTGTAAGATTTTTTCGTCACTATCCCTTGCGTCATAGTGTAGACGGCCTTGGTGGCGAAATGAGGAAGTGAGATGAAATAATATCCATCTCCCTCGCACTTTTTCTTATCTTGCCATGAAAGAAATATTATTGTATTTCAAATGACGCTTCATTTCAATAGACGCTAGTAATTCATTTATTTTATACGTGGTAGAGCCATGCTGCAGCTATATTATGGTTGTAGCACGAATGGGTCGGCTCGACCGGGGAAGGACCACGCTCTCACAGAATACCAGCGTCAAATAGCAGCTTGTTGCTGCTGTGTTTCGTATGGTGAGTGTAGAGAACCGGAGACCTTTTTTACTGGAAACGAGGCATTCCATCTAAGTCCTCACGGGTGACAACGCACCTGCATTTTCATTCGTAATCGAAGATAGATGTAGATGTCTATGGGCCACAGCAACCACTAACCATCAGGTGGACTGTGTGCTCGTTTGTCACCCTTCTTCTATAAAAAAAAAATAAAAATAAAAAATTTGTATTTGTTAATCAATAATAATATAATACCTACGTTTATCAATAATAATATACTACTCAAGGAACTTCGTTCTAACCGAGTGTTCCACGACACTCACGCATTTTTTTTTATATAGAAAAGTAAAGGTACTACTACACTAGCGCATATTCCACCTGATGGTGGAGGACATCTATCCACAATCAATAATTATTATCCAGAATTTTTAATAGGATAAGCGAGCACACAGTCCACCTGATGGCAAGTGGTTACTGTGGCCTATAGACATCTACATCTATCCTTGTTTGCGAATCAAAATGCAGATGCGTTGTCGGCCGTGAGGAGTAAGATGGAATGCCTTTTATTTCAATTAAAATGGGTCTCCGGTTCTCTACACTCACCATACGAAACTCAGTAGCATTAATCTGTTATTTACCGCTGGTATTCTGTGAGAGTGTGATCCTTCCCCGGTCGAGCCGACCCATTCGTGCTATAAGTATACAATTAATATAGCTGCAGCATGGCTCTACCACATAAAAAAGAACTAAAAAAGATACCCTGAATAGTAAAAGGGGAATAAGATAAAATGCCTCGCCACCAGTAATAAGAGTTTTCCGGTTGTCGTCACTCACTTATTCTTATTTCTATAGAAGTCGGAAAAGAAAACACCCGAAATATCTTGCAGACTCTAATGAATGACTGGATAGAATGTTACAATCTCATAATAAATAATATAGCAAATATAAGACCCACATGCTACCATTCATTACAAACCGCGATCACATCGTTGTCGCGCCCAATATTGAATTGTTTACGGCCTAATGAAAAGTTGTCTTCTTATGATTGCTCAAGAATATTGTTACTTTTAAAGTTAGTTACGGCCACGCGCATTTTGACAACTTGTACTAAAGCAGAATACAATTTTTTTTAATATTAAAATATAAGGTATGTGTAAATAATAAAAAACAAATTAGTGCAAGTACTTCAATATATTTATTACATAAATTACATTTATAACAGTTCCTTGCGAAATCAAATATCTATTTATCCAATTTCTTCAATCTCATTAATGGGCTTCATATCAATTGAGGTAGAATTTTTAATACTAATACGCTCCTAAAAATAAAAATAAGGGATCATCACACAGTTAAATACCTACACAAAATAAAAAATATACGTGTATTTTTACCAATATCTTTTCATAAAGTTGGTTACTTAATAAGTATAAACACACAATTAGAAGCGTATGATTATTGTGGTGTTTTAATGGAATTGTTACCTTCTTGCTATCATAAGCATTGATGTAAGGCTCGTCGCTAGGATGTGGTGGTTCTCCATACAATCCTCTCAACAGCGGCGCGAGAAGTTTTGGCGCCGGTAGAACATGAACCTTACCCAGTATTCGGTTTACTTGTGAAACAATCAAACCTATGCACATGGCCACTACTGCGCCAGATAGCGTATACCACATGTATGATACATGAAGTACTGGATTCACCTCAACACTAAAAACGTAATTTACGTTATACTCGTATACGCAATTATTTAGTACTTATATAATTTCGAATTCAATAGGTGATCAAAAGGGATGGACGGAAATGTGTCTGATATGTTTAAAGTTTAAAAATCGAAAGCAATTTGTGCAAAATAATAATAAAGTCTATGATTTTCTGGTTTCCTAAATGATCAATTGAGATGTTTTTTCGAATCTTCCGAGTCGTTGGTTTTCGCCCACTTCGATAAGTATCTACGTTCAGTCGCGTAAAAAGATGCGTAGGTATAGAATTTGGAGTCGAGTCCAGATGTGCATCCAGCTCTAAAGATCTCCATCTAAGTCTCTTGTCCGTCTGACCAATATTCAAGTGTCCGGATTGTGGAGTCTGACTTGAGCTTACCTGTCCGGTAAGCTGTAAATCTTATCGAAGCATTCAATACTGTTGGATTGGTATCCGAATAACAGATAGATGTACATTGTAGATCCATCAATAATGCGAGTTATGTGGCATCATGAATTCGTATCCATCTGTACGCAGCTGTTACGCAGCGCGAACCCGACTGGATTTGAGCCAAGACAGGCCAGTCGACCGCATTAATAATAACCGCCGATTCGGTTATGTAACATTTTCAAATCATTTACGAACGCAATTTGGATTATATTATATAATGTGTTACATTCTACGTGGTAGAGCCATGTTGCAGCTATATTATGGTTGTAGCACGAATGGGTCGGCTCGACCGGGGAAGAACCACGCTCTCACAGAAAACCAGCGCAAAATAGCAGCTTAACGCTGCTATGTTTCGTATGGTGAGTGTAGAGAACCGGAGACCCTTTTTACTGGAAACGAGGCATTCCATCTTAGTCCTCACGGGTGACAACGCATCTGCATCTTGAGTCTTTATTGAGGATAGATGTAGATGTCTATGGGTCACAGTAACCACTTACCATCAGGTGGACTGTGTGCTCGTCTGTCACCCGATACTATAAAAAAAAAATATCCAAATAAATTTGTAAGTCAGTAATTTTTTTTATAGAATAAGGATTACATACGAGCACATAGTCCACCTGATGGTAAGTAAATGTTGTGGTTCATAGACATCATCTACATTTGTCCTCAATTAAGAATCAAAGTGCAAATGCGTTGTTGTCCCTGAGGACTAAGATGGATCTCCACTTCTCTCGACACTCGCCATACAAAACACAGCAGCTTAATGCTGCTATTTTACGCTAGTATTCTGTAAAAGTGTAGTCCTAATCCCGTCGAGCCAACCCTAACGATAATATAGCTGTAGCTTGGCTTTACCACGCATACAAAATTTAAAAAAAAGTGTATTAATGTTGTAACTGAGACACTTAGTGCCCGAGCTATCGGTATATTCTACATAGTCTATGGTTTCTTATTTTATTAATAATTGCAGTTGCCGCCATCCTACATGGCCACCCAAACATCTCGGACCCATACACTCACGACGCAAGTCGACTGCGGGAGAAAATGTTAATACTATTTTCACTAACTATTATATAAATAGTATAATGATGCTCACGTCGTTTCAGCTAACTGGTTTACAGGATCCGCTATAGTGAAATTATATAAACAACCTTCCGTAGTGAGACGTTTGTGAGGATGCACGATTTGACCATTTGCAATGGCTAGTTGTGCGGACAAACACCACCAAGCCATCGTTAATAGTCCACACACACCGCCAACTAAAGCTCCCTGCCAACAATGTTTGAATTCATATATTTAAACCCTATTACATCAGCGATGATAAATATTAAGATTAGATATTCGTTTATTTTTTCTTATGTGTGGACTCTGTCTGAAATAAATTGATTTTATTTTATTTTTATTAGTAGAGGTGGGAGCCGTGGTGGCACAGGGATTAAGCTCAATAGTTTTCAGCGTTAGAATACTTTTTCAAACCTTTTAAAAAAATCAAGCCATATCGCTATAAGTACTGATTCTTGCACAAAAAAGATATCTTCAAAAATTGCTTAGACCAAGAAAAAAGGTTAAAAATTTAAAAAAGTAAAGTAACAATTGCATTAGTGTTTAGGGGTTCGAACTAGGTTGCGTACTATAAGGCTAGCGCTCAGCCCCAGAGCTACACCTCTCATATTGAAAAAAAATTACTAATTGAAAATAATTACCATAATTTTATAAAATAATTACCGTGGCATCCACCCAAGGCATTAAAATGCCCATTGTGAACACTCCGAGTTGAGGACCCATCGTCATTGCTTCTAAAGTCATGGTAAGTTGCAAAATTGTTCCCATTTTCTCAACGATAAAAACCAAACCTGAAATAATTTTGATCATGTTTGTTTCTTACATATTGACACTTACTGGTACCACAAAGCCTATTCTTAAAAAAATTGTACTACTTTGAATGAAACTATATTTACTGATTTTATCGCGTTTAATTTACTTATCGAACATAAATCAAACCAACCAAATATTAATATTATCTTTATATATAAAAATTAAGTGTCACGTTGTTTGTCCGCGATGAACTCCTAAAGTCCTAAACTATTAAACTGATTGCAATGAAATTTTGCAGACTGTGTGCAGTTTGGTCCAACTTAGTAGTTAGGATAGTTTTTATACCGATAAGTGACCCTCAATTTTTTTTATTGCAAATTTAAGGATTTTTTCATAGGAAGGGTCGTCGGAAAGGGCAGAATAACGTCTGCCTGGCCAGCTAGTATTATATAGTTTTATTCAATGCGTACTATTCACGTATATATATGAAATCATTTGTACTACTTGATCAACTATAACCCTCGTCATGGGGCAGCCGTGCTAATAAAGATTGTAAAGTGAGCAAAATTATTAAGAAAAATAAAAATAACTTTAAACATGAATTTTATAATATAATTTACACTTCACTGATTTTGATAATTATCACGTAGTGTTGGCGGAAGAGAACTCATCACCCCATTAATTCCCGTAGGTGTTAAATATTAGGACTCCTTTTTGTTCTACTAGTTCTAGCCTAGATGTTCGTCTGCTGTGTTCCGGTCTGTATGGTATAGAGAGCCAATATAAATTGCAGGCTGTGAGGCATTCTATCCATCTGCGCCCCCTTTCCCTAATGTCGCTTCCGATTCGGCAGAAAGGCCGTACAGGCCAAAGCTAGTCCGACAGGTGATGTAGTGGGTAGGCACTTCATAGTGAATCTCACATAATCTCACACAGCCGGCTGCGTGGTATGCTATGAGCATTCACCACTGCAAAAAAAAGCATTCTATCCAAGTCGTCAGAGGCATATTTATTTATAGTTTGTTGCAGGTCTTCTTAGGCTGCCAGTATCCACTTACCATCAAGTGGACAAGTAATTCGTTTGTCTTCAAAGACTTCTGAGTTTTATTTAAACGTTGATTCATACAGTTGAAACCTCCTTGTAGGTAGTATTTTTTTTCAATATGTTTATGCAATAATTTCATGGATAAGGAAACAGCAAGCAGCCCCGAAAAGTAAAATATGTGAGTTTTCACAAATGTTTGCTTCGATTAGGATTTGAACCTAACGCCGACGAGTAAGTGCAATTGTTCCACGACTTATAAACAACCTATCCCCAGAATTCCGCGATAACTTAAATATAAAAAATATTTAAAAAATACTTAAAATGTACTTTTTGGGTAATTTATAAAAAAAATGTTACTACTTAAAACAGCGTATATGCGTTTGCTCAGGTCCTAATTATGCTGTAATGTTTTCTTTTTACAAACTAAATTAATTATTAATTATACTTTAATATAACGTCGACTCGGTCTGTTTTCTGTATGCGACTTTTTAGGATAGTTTTTTGTAATGCTTTGTAATATGGTAAATAAAAAAAAGTAATCAGGTTTCTTGAATCTCATCATTTAGTGGAGGACGTAAGAGAATCCACCTCTTTATATCATCCCGTGGTAGTCGTAAGTGGCAACAGAGATAAATGGAACAGGAGATGAGCCGTAGCATCTTCCTAATAACAGCTCAAAATCATGAAAACTGCTGATGCTAACCCTGGAAAATATCCCTCCTATAAGATAATATATAGGGGAGACCTACCTTCAGCGGTGGAATTTAGATTGGCTGTAATGAATGAACACTAAACCATACAGTCGACAGATTTTAGCGCTGACATAAAAAAAAACCTTACCTAAACAAGCACAGCCCAAAAGTATAACTACCCCTTTAAGCAACCAATTAATTTGCTGTTCTGAAAGTTGCCTCTTAAAAAATGGCTTGTAGAAGTCTTCTAACACGACTGCCGACATCGAATTCAAACTTGTCGATAAAGAACTAAAAGAAACGAAAAGTTAAATTTTGTTAGAAAAAAATAAATTCATGACAAGACATCAATTTTTTAACATATATTATTTTATAGAAAATACCTCAAGGCTGCACTAAATATACCAGCTACAAATATGCCGGGTAATCCCGGTATATCACCAAGAACATCCATCACTAGCAAAGGTAACAGTTGATCCTTGGCTTTCGCTAACTGGAAACAGAATATGGTTGTATTTAATCTCTTATTAATTTACCATTTTGCACGTACTAAGCGTGTAAAATGGTAAATTCAACAATTACCTTAGTTTGCAGAGGGTCGCAATCATAAAAACGAGCATAAATAAGTAGTCCACAATAGATACATAAGCAATAGAGAACGGATATACCAATACAAAACAAAAATACGGACCTGAAATTAAAAAAAGTAAATTATACATATTTGTTGAAAATAAGAGCAAATAAAAATTTACCTTTTTTGTAGATTGTAGATTGAGTATTTATTTATTTAAAATTTAAATTATAGTTTAGTTTTTAATATTGTATATAATTAAATTAAATTTGATATATACAATATAGTTTTTAATATTGTACATAATTAAATTAAATTTGATATATATAATATGTATTTAATAAATATTTCAATAAGTGCTTTAAAATTCATTGCACAAAAATGTACAAAGGTGGATTCAACGCCTTAAGGCGTTCTCTATCAGCGAGTATGTGACAGTTTTGTTTGTGTAAGATTTGTTATTCTTTTTTTTTTGCAAAAATTTCAAGCTATCGTTATTTTTTAAATTAAGTTAGATGTTCTCCTGAATCGTAGAGGCATTTTACATACGCAGAATGTTATTCAGACCGAATTTCAGTCACGGCAGCCAGTCTCTACGGAGAATGGGCATCTTTGCAGGACAGGATTATAATGCACTAGTGCGTGGATTATACACCTGTGAACAGTGCACACGCACGGGTGCCTCACTCCCCGATTATATAATAATATGCATAATTTAAATTTTACATTTTAAATAATGGTATAGTTTAAATTTAATTATTCATGAGTGACTAAGATATTTTTTATAGGATAAGGGTGACAAACGAGCACACAATCCACCTGATGGTAAGTGGCTGCTGCGGCCCATAGACATCTACATCTATCTTCTATTACAAATCAAAATGTAGATGCGTCACCCGTGAGGACTAAGATGGAATGCCTCATTTCCAGTAAAAAGGGCCTCCGGCCACCCTGCACTCACCAAGCGAAACGCAGAGGTAAACCTCTACTTCACGCTGGTTTTCTGTGAGGTCGTGGTACCACCCCGGTTCGAGCCGGTCCATCCGTGCGACAGCAAAAGCTGCCGCGTGGCTCTACCACTGTTAAAAAGATATAAAATGTAATTCAAATATATAAAACATGCAGGCTTTTTATTTTTTAGAACTTAAATTTATCAAACCATTTGGCACCTCGTAGTGTGGGGAGTGCTAAATAACGTTGCACCATTGTCTGGTTGACAGAATTTGCTTGCAACCAATAAACCAGACCCCCTATTAGGAGACTCCATATTGTGTGCCTTGCTGTCGGATTAGGATCCCAACTGTAATTGAAAATAAGTAATAAACATTTTAAAGACTGTTCTCACAGTGAATTGCTATTTTTAATTAATAAGTAAGTACAACATAAAATTTTACAACTTATTAATAAGATTTCATATCAAGCAAGAAAAACGAGTAACATTTGCCTTATGACGAATGAAAACATCGTGAGAAAACCTGTAAATCTATAAATTAAAAAAAAATCTGGATATGTAAAGTCTGATAACATACATAGCGGCAGCGTAATGGATACTTTCCTGTTGTAAACCCCTCTCAGAAATAAAAAAAGAGGCTATAACAATGAATTATACCTTCATCATTCCTTCTGTACTACATATCACCTTACATACTTTACAGCGCTAGAATGCGATGATGAAATAAAGATTAGGAAAGTTAAAAAAATAAAATTCAGAGTCAAATGAAAATGGTTCGGAGACAATATTATCATTTCTTTTCGAGATATGCAAAATAAAAATAAACTAATAAACTATAAACTTAAATATATCTATGTATGTAACTATGAATTTCATGGAATTTTTTAATTACGTTTTCTGGTCTTTCGGATATCTTAATGATCAGGAATTTTACAGACGTAGGTATAATTTCATAACCAGGACCAATTCTCACTGGGATCGTTGCAGCTAATGACCAATATTATTTGAACAAAAAAAACAAATAAATTAATTACAAGCGTCTATTAAAATGAAGCGTCATTTAAAATAATATTTCTTTCATGGCAAAATAAGAAAAAGTGCGAAGGAGATGGATATTATTCCATCTCGCTCGCACTATAGAAAGGAGGTCGTGACGGAAAAATCTTACACTTTTTCTCGCTTAGCCCCCATCGAACTTCGTTCCAAAAATAGTACTTTACTATATCTATAGATAAAGCGATGAAATTATTTACAGAGATGACTATCACTACATTTTCTTGTAATTCAAGTATGTGCAAATTTGTCACAAACTTATTTATTAACTACAACGTAGTACAGCCACGCTACAGCTGATCAGCACGAATAGGACCTGGTTCGGGGTGACTACTTTAACTACTTTTACAGAATACATGTAGTGTATAATAGCAGGATAATGCTGCCGTGTTTTAGTTATAGTGAATGAAGAGAACCGGCGACACTTTTTACTGGTAACGAAGCATTCTATCTTCTGCCTTAGTTCTCGGGAGACACACATGTGTTTTGATGCCTAATCAATAAGTACCTATATATGGGTCACAGCATCTACATACCACGCAAATATTGGTCGTGTTAAAAGAAACTGTGTTTCAGCCGCACTTCGTGTATGAAAACGAAAGTGAGCCAATCAATTTATCTTTTTGAACATATTATGACATCAGTTTATTGGTTAAGCAGAAGGTTTATTCTAACCTCGTTAATGTTTTAGTTTCGCTAGTTCACGACACGTTAGTGTCCAGTCTATTTCATATAAAAAGTTTAATGTGATTATCATCAGAAAAAATAATATTCCACATATATTTAAAAAAAACATGCTAAATGTTAGAATTGAATTTATATACTTTGGATATTCGATCCTCTCGCTGTCTAGATTACGCTGCAGTACGACACCCACACCACCAACATCCAACGTGCCTTTAATCGCAACCAATACCATGGCCCCAAACATCACAGTTATTTGTATAACGTCAGTCCATACTACCGCTTGCAGACCACCCTGTTGAGCGATTAATTAAATAGCATATTATATAATATTAAAATTCAATGTTATTCTTTATACTCACGGCGCTCGTATAAAATATGCAAACTAAACAAACTATTGGAGTTATGATATGGATGTCGACACCCGTAACTGTAACAAAAAATATCAATCAAAACAAGAATTCGGTCTCGGCGGCTAGTTTTAACGGAGACTAGCCATCGGCGCAGGACTGGATTATAGTGCCCAAGTGTAAACGCAAGCACAAGTGCACTCTCTATTCCCTCACTCTCTTAGTCGATGGGACGGTAAACCGACACGACCTTTCGCTTTACGTGCTTTCCGAGGCACGGGAGTGAAACACCGCCAACTCCCTAACTCCGAGCAGCTACTGAGAATTTTGACAAAAAGAAAAACTGAATAACTGATTTTTGGCCCAGTAGTCGCGTTTACAATTACTAGACCAACGGGGCGTACCTCTCATACAACTGCTTCTTCCTCATAGTCAACCGCTTAACAGCCTACAAGCAAAAATAAACAGAATTTGCCATAATAGCTACGTTTGGAATGCGGATTAGCAATATCAGCACCAGCTCTCTACGTCGCCAGTCTAGCCTTACCTGTTTTACCATTACAGCCTATTAAAGTCCACTGCTGAGCATAGGCCTTCCCCATAGATTCCGTCTTAGGAGGAATATTTGCCATAGTTGCTACACGTGCCAAGCGGGCTGGCAACTGCAGTTTTTTTTTATTTTAGTTTTTATGAGGAAGACGCTGCTGCACATCTCCTGATTTGTTTCCCTCTGTCGCCTCTTCCTTCTGTCCTCTCCCACGCCCACGGGATGATATGGGGTAATGGATATTCTTACACCGCCACTACACGGTGTAAGAATATTTTACCTTATGTTTTGCCGGATTTAAAATAATAGTTTAATAAACTGTGTTCATACGTGAAAAGATCAAAACTCGTATTACATGAGAATAATTCAAATCATTTTAAGTACTTACTTAGGTAAAATAGTAACTTCATTAAACATTACATCGTATTGGTATATAGATACCAATACGATTTAATGTTTAATGAAGTTATGTACTATCTTTGATTATTTAATATTTAATTATGTATAAAACAGAATATGTAGATGTTTGATGATTTATAACTATAATATTACCTCTACTTAAAATATTAAATGTGGATATAATATTGTGATAAATAGCATTTTTTCAAAAGAAATACGATTAAAAATAATATCGTGCATACGTTCAAATTAAATATAGTGAAAATCTGTAATTGAGGATAAAAAATAATTTTATATTTTACCCAATTTGGGATTACTCCCGCCGGAATAATTAATTTTATCCACTAGTAGAATATACTACTTAAAAGCTTCGTCATAATGATTTTTGACATGACTTCCACTTTCTATTAATGACATCCACGTAACCGTGAGTGTAAAATTTTTAACTGACGGTTTATAAACTTTAATACCGTTAATAGATTTTAAAGCGCTTATTTGGGGCTAGTTACCCTGTCGTGTGGTTTGGTTTAACTTTAAATGATTAGGAAACCTGCATTTTTGAGCTGACAGCCCTGTCGCATGGTTATTTTTTTTTAATTTTGAGAGAATCTTCAACTTGAGGCTGGTATTAGTATTACCCTGTCGCGTGGTTGCTTTATTTAATTTGAGAGAATCTTCATTTTGGGGCTGGTTATGTTGCGTGATTCCCTTAGTCAAATAAATAGTATTAAAATTGTTTTTTGAGGACTGAGTATACGTACCGGCTTTATGCGAATAATTTCCCGTGCGACACCTGGCGGGAAAATCTATGCGCTTAAATTATTTGTGTTGATTTCGTCGACGCTATTAGGAACAGTTTCAGGGTCTTGATTAAAATTAGGATTGGAGATGGCAAGGTGCACCGGATTTTGAGACAGACTGGAAGTAGAATGCCGACAGTTTTTTGATTTACTACAGTTCTCTATAGATTGTCCTGATGATACCTACTTTACAGTAGAGGTAGAAGTTAGATCTATATACATATATATAATTATTGTCCGAGTTACGATTGAATTGAAGTGTATGATAATAATTATTAGTCAGATTCCGCATAATTTGCGGCCCATTATCGAACTTATTATAATTTTAATTTGTAGATGATTCTGAATTCGGATTCTTTTTATGAACAAATTGTGAAATCTTTTATTCCCATACGCCAATGTTTACGGCTTTATTTAGAATTTATGGGTCTTTACACCGGAGAAGCACTAGCACTCACAAAACTTGAATTTCCATTTCTTGTAGGCTGGACGTTGTTTTGCTCTCGGTACTGAACCCAGAGTACTTCCTGCTGACTCTGAACACCTTGGAGCACTTGTTGTATAGTGGACAGCTGTATCAACGAAGGAGTCCGAGTTCTTTGTAAATCTTCGATTTTATAGACTTCATAGAGTTAACGGATTTATGAAATTCTTGGTGAGTGGAGTGAGACAGTCGCGTGAATTTGAGTCTTGAATGACGGGCTCCCAATTTAAGTAAAAATCTCTTTTTGAGACGTTGCCTGTGATTTTCTTAATTTTTAAATGCCTTTCCGCTGTCACCAAACGGTAGGTGGGGGTTTTAGAAATGTTTTTTTTTAAAAAAAGGACTTGAGGAATGGAGCCCCGTTTCTTGGATTATAAAGTACAATAATATTTAGGAAAACGAGGGATGCCAGAACATGACGGGTGTTAGGTCTCGACTGACTGTGGTCCCGATGGTAGGAATATATACTCTGTTCACAAACAATGACTAGAAAACATGCAGCAATCGATTACCATCAGCGATTTTTCCGGACCGATACGACTTAGGGACCTTCAAGAAAAGAGCGTACTCCTTTTTAAAAGGCCGACAACGCATGTGTAATTCCCTCCCTGGTGTTGCAGTTGTTCATGGGCGGCGGTAGTCACTTACCATCAGGTGAGCCGCATGCTCGTTTGCCCCCTCTCCTATAAAAAAAAGCATTCTAAGTGGTTCTGGGGTGGTCTGCAATATTATATACTAGGTAAAAATCGATCACTAATAAAAAACTACATAATCAGTGACAAAAAATGTCCTTACCGAATGAGCACCCACTCGAACATTTGGATGCGCTTTAAAATTGTACGTAGCTATGTGAATACAACTTTAGACGATGCATTTAAAGTTGTATTTACAATGTATATTTATTTCAACTAGAATTACGTCAAAACAATTGGCGACAGTTTTAGAGATCTTTAGCATGGGATTGTGTATCTCTCTACTCTAGTACTAGTACTAGTCTATTAGGTAACGGTTTAACAGATCGTTGGGCGGAAATAAAAGAACTAATACCGAGGAACTACTAAATACTAACTATGTAGTTCACTTAGATCGTTAGTAGCGAATGAACCTAAAGTTATAAAAATCACTACGTTTTAAAGGAACTACACAAGCTAAGCATAAGACTACGAGTGTTTGAAATGATATTAATGTGTTTCATAAAGATAATATCTCTGTCAATAAAACTAAAAATAAAAATGGAACTCTTTACCTTGATTAAAAGCCAATGCAGGAACATAAATGACGATCGGTAACCAGCCTATCTGCAATTATAAAACTTTGTTTGCTCATTTTTTCTTTTAAATTAATTATAAATTATAAATAATAAATTTCTTAATAGGTTTTACAAACTGAAATACACTCACCAGTGTAAATGTGAACAATATTGAACCAAACAACCGAACCCTGTTGTCAAATCTCATCGATAAGTACTGAAAAAGTAAAATAAGTATGATGCTAATCGTTTGAAAATCGTATGTATAAGAATTATTTCTTATATTTAAGCGAACCCTACACATTAAATGAAACTAATTTTACAGATTCTATCGCGTTTTATTTAACTTTTTAATTCCCAACGTTTCGGGTGTTTTACAGCCCCCATGGTCACGGGACGAACTGAGGTGTTTAACGTCCCGATGTTATAGTTAACTCGGTTAACTTCAGTTTTTGAATATGTATTAATTTTTGGTCCGATCTACGCAGAATGAGCTTACAGTATCTTAAAGTCTTTCAGTGGTATGCTTGGGTTTGGGTTTCATTTTATTAATTATAGGATCCCAAGCAGATGGCAACACCCATCCATCTTCTCCATTTTAATTCGCGCGGAATCCGCCATTTTAATAATAATTATTCTTTAAATTGTCTTACTTTTGGAGAGTAATAAAGTTGTTCCAATAAGAGAATGAAATTGGAATTAAATAAAGCAGTCCTAATTTTTTAACAATTGCATAGTATTATTAAAACTTACCTCGTAATTAGACGTAATCTTAAGTTCGTGAAAAACAGGTAAATAGACTTGAGTCATCACAATCGACATTAGAAATATTCCACCAATTATAAAAGCATACTGTGTTCCATGCATATATACTTCTGTCGGTGAACCAAGAAGCGTTATCCCAGAAACGAAGCTGCCGGATAAGAATATCATTTTTGTACATGTTATAAAAGAAATTTAAAAATCAGTTTAATTTAATTACACCACCGGTGTCATAAAACCGCCGATTTCGTTTTAATTTAATAGCACTCAAAATAAACAATCAAAGAAAGCACGTTTTGCAAATTATATTTTTCCTATACAATGACATCATTTTATACCATTAATTAAAGTATTCTCTAATTTTATTTATTAATTTTAATTATATCCAACTAAAGTTGTAAAATCAAAATTACTTATAACAATATAGTAACCAACTAAAGTTGGTTGGCTACAATTTCCAGATCACAACAACAAAGACTTTCCAAATTTTTTCCAGATCGCAATCTACCTACCCTAGCCTGAGTTAAAATAATTATAATTAAGAAATTAAAATGAATTGAATTTTTGAGTCAGCTTCCAAAATCGATTCCACTTTTTATTAAAAGTTTAACTAATTGAATCTTATAAGTTATCTCAGAAATATAACAAGTTCAAGGTATGTACGAGTATGTACATGTTTTAAAATAGGTACATAAAAATCTTCATTCCCTATTTTTGCACCCTTAAGGGGTGAGATTTTTTTCTTAGAATTTATTTAAGACCACCGCTGTAGTATAACATACAATAAGTAAAACATACGCGTCGAATGTATTTCCTTTACATTTATATTTGTTACCTTCTCGTTTTTTGAAATCGGTTAAAAATGACAAACACTGTAACTTCAATAATATGCGGCACAAAAGTCTTCTCAGCATTATAAATATTTTAAATCTCAATTCAGACATAATATCAACTTTTGTTACCCTAAGTTCTTAGATCGTTTAAACGGCATGACCCATGGGTTCGACCATTTTGAACTGTTCCAATTTATAATCCAACCACCCCAGGAGGGTAAAGATTTACGTGTATGTATGTTTACACTTAGTATGACTTGTGCTGTAGCTTAAACGGCTTTAGTTCTGGAGTATTACAGTCTGCTTGTTGGCTACATGCTGGATTACAGTGCATTCCAACGAATGTAAAATTTAATTATTATGCAATATAAATGTAATAAAATAAATCACCGTACACAGGTTCTTTATTTTTAATAATAATTTAGTAAGTTATTTAACTTAGACCCTATTGTTTACTATACAATAATTATTATCATGATTTTTTGTGGAGAAATTCTGTCTTAAAAATATATAAGGCGTTATATCCTTACCTTGCCACTAGAGACATGGAGACAGGAATTACTTGCATATTTCTACCACCTAGAAGATAATCATTTTGTGTGGTCTGTTTTTTCATGAAACCCCAATATACACCCACAACAGCACTTATTGCCAACATGAACACAAACACTACGTAATCTACCCATGAGAACTTCTGCATCTGATAAGCCATCTCGTTTACATCGTCTTGGGCCTCCTCCATTTCGTTGGTTTATTGGAATCGATTTCATACACAAAATTCAAATGGGTGCTTGTATTCAAATGGCACGTGAGTCCACCGAGACGCAAAGCGCAATCTGTTACAATGAAACAATTACGATAACTCGCAATTTAAAAGAGGATGTTGCGAGATCCCCCTCAATGGCTTCATCAGAAGCGAATTAAGGACTTTAAAGATATAGTTTCCTGGCCCTTCCCCTCGTAAAGACTAAAAATTATACCCTGTCCACTTTGATGGTCGTAAGCATCTAATAAAAATTAAATAATTTATGGTGAAAAACAATTCTACTTAACAGACAGTACGAGTAGTGCACATTAAAACTGCTCATACAATGATTTCTAAACTTCTATTGATATTGAAATTAAAATTTCATTGGTGTTAGCGTGGATCGAACTTTGATTGATACGAGTACTACGAAATTTATGCATTACGACTATATATTATAGACATTTATATAGCCTCGTCTGTGTGTAAGTCTGGGTAAATCTCGTTTTAACTATGCCATATTTCAACCATCTTGAATAAAATGAATATAAAAAAAACTTCTATAATAGACGGGAAGACAGACGCCAAGGTGATTCCATAAGGACATTTCTTAATTGTTTGTATCGCATTGACATTTATCATACGGTACCTGTCTGGTAACATATTTTCGTGATGATTTCTGTTTTGTAGTGTGTGCGTGCTTGCGTGCGTGATTGTGTTACCTTTATCGTCACAGCCTATTAAAGTCCACTGCTGAACATAGGCCTCTCCCATAGATTGCCTCACATGGGAGATTTTTGCCATAGCTGCCACGTTTAGCATGCCGGCTGGCAACCGCAGTCTTTTATTTTTAGTCATTATTAGGAAGACGTGGTTGCCCATATCCTGATTTGTTTCCCTCTGTCAAAGCTACAACCATATATAATATATAGCTGCAGCATGACTCACCCTATGTGTGAACAAACATACATTCACGTGTCTGTGAACATTTTCTCATACAATCATTGCACTATTGTCAGAATTCTTTGTATTTTTACAAATATCTTTTTTTATAATGATTTCTTATATTTACGCGAACACTACACTTTTAAATAAAACTAGTTTTGCGGATTTTATCGCGATATAATAGTTTTTAATCTGGAGGTAGCCGTGGTTAACTATGACATTGGGACGTCATACACCTCAGTCTCACCATGGGTGCTTTAAAGTACTCGAAGCATCGGGAATATAAAATAAGTATTAATTATTTTTTTTTTATTATAGTTTTATTGTAGTACAGTTTCAACTTACTTTAATGTTAAATTACCTATAATACTTTAAATGTTACAACTAATACTAATCAATGAAATAAATGATTCAGAAATAAAAAGTATTTTTTGTGATTGTAATTTTTACTGTGTATACGGTAATTTAATCATAAGTCAACAAAATCAGAAAAATAATAATTATTAGATATATAGATCAGTGGGCTCTTCATGCAACTAAATCTTATTTCACGTGGTAGAGCCATTTTGCAGCGATATTGTAGTTGCATCACAAATGGGTCGGCTCGTACGTGCTGGGACCACGATCTAACCGAATATCAGCGTAAAATAGCAGCTTAATGCTGCTGTGTTTCGTATGGTGAGTGTAGAGAACCTTCTAACTGGAAACCAGGCATTCCATCTCAGTTCTCAGGGGTGACAACGCATCTGCATTTTGATTCTTAATTGAGGATAATTGTAATTGTCTAAGGGCCACAGTATCCAATTACTATCACGTGGACTGTGTGTTCGTTTGTCACCCTATTATTGTTTTGTATATAAAAAAAATTAACTTAATCGAAACTTTTAAGAAAACTGATTACTTTACTTCCTAGTGTTGAGTTATGTGTCATCCCGTAAATATACGACTATTTCAAATTAATACTACTTTAAAAACTTAAGTAAGTATTCTAGTTATAAGTACAATATCTTTTATTTATAAAAAAAAACTTAAGCTTAGTAAAAAACAATGTATGACGAAATTCAAAGGTACATTTTCTGTCCGGTACATTTTATGCGGTTTGTTAAAAGAAATGAGTAGAAAATAACAACCAAAAAATATTTTACCGAGGTGTCCTCCCCGGCTGATACTTCGTATCTCTCCTACCCGGGGTCCAAATTGGAACACTCCTTTGTGCCTCGTGCTGGACTTTGCGTATACGTCGGAAAGGACATCTGTTCTCGACGCCTCGGCAGTCTTGAAGGACCTGTCCATCCTTTGGCTACGCATAGACAGCGGCGATTATCCGCGCTTCTACGGGTGTCTCTATAGGTCTTATATCGGTAATGCTGAAACAGACCGACTCAACCACCTCGCACAAATGGCTACAGATTCCTTGCTACAACAGGTCCCATCCGCAGAGATCGTGATCCTTAACGATTTTAACGCCCACCACGCCGAATATCTCGGTTCACGTTTAACCGATCATGTGGGGAGATTTTTTCATGATTTTGCCTTGGCATACGGTGTGACACAACTGGTTACTTCGCCTACGCGGATTCCAGATGTGGAGTATCATGCACCTTCCCTGTTGGACCTTCTGTTGACCTCTCATCCGAACAGATATCAGGTCGACGCCCCTCTTGGCTCCTCGGACCATTGTCTAGCCCGGAGTGTGGTGCCATTCACGCTGAAATCGCGGTTTCTTTCTGCAGGCTGCCGCCGTGTTTAGCACTATAGGTCGGCCGATTGGGATGTGGTGCGGTCTTTCTTTGTATTCTACCCTTGGGGGCGGGTGTGCTTCTCACCCAACGATTCCAACGTTGTTGCTAACTCTGTTGCTGATGTGGTACTTCAGGGAACTTTTTATTCCTTCCACTGTGGTGTCCATCGAAGGCAGATCTCAGTCATGGTTTAGTCGCTCCTGTAAAATATCATCACGCTACAAGCAGGAGTGTGACCGGGCCTGGTCTGACGCATCAATGTCCCGGAATGTAAACACCAGCGCCCTTAAAAAGAAGTATAATTCTGCCTCCCGGTCATTCAAAAGAGTCATTGCCAAGCCAAAGTCAGAGCACATAGGCAGAATTGGAAAGAAACTAGTTCGCCTTCCTTCGGGAACCCGTTCATTCTGGTCTCTCGCCAAGGCTGTCCAAGGGAACTTCTGTCAGCCATCTCTTCCATCTCTGCACAGGGAGGACGACTCAATTGCCTATGCCACAAAGGAGAAAGCCGATCTGCTAGGCTCTTTGTTTGCGTATAACTCGACTCTTGATGACGGGTGAACACACCTCCGACCATCCCGCGGTGTGAGTGCTCCATGCCAGATGTGCGGTTCACATAGTGCTCGGTTCGCAAAACACTCCTTTCCCTAGACATTCACAAGTCAAGTGGGCCGAAGGAATCCCCCGTATTGTACTGAGGTCTTTTCCGGTACTCCTACTCCCTAGGCGTAGTCCCGAAATCATGGAAGACGGCTTTTGTCCACCCGATCCCTAGAAAAGGCGACCGCTTAGACCCTTCTAACTACAGGCCTATCGCCATCACATCCTTGTTCTTCAAAATAATGGAATCCATTATAAACTGCCCGTTCATGTGGTACCTTGAGGATCACCAGCTGATTAATGACCATTAATACGGTTTTCATTGCGGTCTATAAGCTGGTGATCTTCTAATCTGCCTGACTCATAGATGGGCGGAGGCAGTAGAGTCCAAGGGGGAGGCATTGGCCGTTAGTTTGGACATTGCGAAGGGTTTGACATAAAGCGCTTCTTTCGAAGCTCCCTTCCTATGCGCTTCCCGAGAAATTGTGCAATTGGATCACCAGCTTTCTTGCAGATCGAAGCATCAAGGTAAGTCTTGACCGCTAAGTTTTGAAGCGGTCAGTCACTGCAGAGTCTACATCACCTGAAGATGCCTCGTGTAGAGGCGAAATACGTGTAGTGTTGTCGTCAGTGATGTGTCTTTCCTAGTGTAGTGGTGTTGGGAGTAGTGGTGCTGGGATTAGTGGTGACGGGGATAGTGCACGCAATTAAGGGAGGGCGGGAGATGCTCTTCAAACTAGGTAAGACACATTTTATTTTAGAGAGCAGATGTACGCGAGATAATTTTAATAACTTTAATATAATGGATTACCGCAAAGTAACGCCTGATTTTATTAATTATCCATTCAAAAGTTCTAGGATCGTCTTCATGAAGCACTAAGAATCTTTCCAGCAGTTTGGCCGCATCCAGTGCTTGTTTGATACTGGCTGGTTCGGGCTTATCGGATTGTCCTCCTGAAGGTGAATCTGTTGACCTTTCTCGTCTTTCATGGCAGTCAATAACAATAATAAACAAAAGAATCTGAGGATTTCTTCGTAGCTCAGCTTAAGTCAGCGTACTCATTTCCACGGATATGATCAGTTCCTCATCCACGGAAACAGAGTTCTGCAGCTCCTCGTTGTGAAGGTGACTGTCATCTTAATTTGTTTTTTTATTACTTATTATAAGCCATTGCTTAACCACAATCCCACCTGGTGATAAGTGGTGATGTAGCTAATTGTTTAATTCATGCGATTAGCGGCAGATCATCTTCTTCCGATACGGATTTTGACTTACATCGATTCCTGCAAAACCAGTAGATAAACCAGCTGAGAGAGAGCAGAGCAGTTGTCCACAAGAAGAAAAATTTTCCTTCATTTTAGCTCTGCATCCTCCCTTCCCCCACCCCCTACCTCTTCTTCAAAATGGTGCGACGTCATCCACACAGATTTGTTTGCTTTATAAGTGGCAACCGGCAACCGTTCAATGTTCTTGAAACACCGTGGGTTTTTTTTTCTTGTTTACCCATCACCATTACTTTATTTTGTTTCTGTGCCACTCATGTTGGCAACCAGCACCGTATTACATTCTTTGGAGAGTTTGCCACCCACGCAATTTTCAGTTTTCAACTTTAGAGTCTTTTCTGGCGTCAATTTGTAAAAAATTCCAGTTACATTGGCATAAAAAATGTCGGTAAACTACTGCGGTCAAAGTGAATTCTGACCGCCATT